GTACTGTGGGACCTACATTCACCATCACATTCACACTACAGACAAGCATTAACCCATTCAGCAAAATGTCTCAAGTGAACGAACCATCATATGCCAGAAGTTTCCCTATAAACTGATATCACATATGGGGCACCATTTGGCAATAAAATAAAAAAAGTAAGCAGTGAACAAACTATCCTGTACCTTCTCTCACGCTTGTCTTCTCCTCCAAAGAACACAAGCTTTGGCCACCTACAGACTTTTCTCCGAGTTTGATAGAGCAAATTTATCTGGACCATTTCTTGAAAGAAAAAATATTAATGTGGCAAGAGTTAAAGAACCTTCATCATAGGTTTTGATAAAGGAATTACACAAACTAAAAGAGGAAGATATATTGGGTCATCGAGTCCATTCTTTCTGACACTACAGGATTGTTCCTTAGGGTTTTAGCTTCCTCTTTCTTGCATTTTATCATCTTGTTCTGATCTCACAGATCGAGTATTGTTGTGCACATGTATTTGGGGAGCCCCGCACCCCTTTGAGTTCTTGTGACAATTACTTTTGAGACATTGGAAAGCCAGTCAAGCTTTTAATTTATTTCACAGTGTTTTATCTATAGCACAACCACAAAGATCTCTGTTTTCTTTCCATTTTCACCTTAGTTCAAGAGACCCTTGATGCATCCTTTATGTCTTCCCTCATTGTAATTAGTCTGCAAGAATATTCACTGGCCTTTGCATCTTCACCACATTTTAAAGTTCAGTTCTCTTCTTTTGCTTTCCCCTTTGGGCTCGCATGAGAGTGGATGTCCCAGGCTTTGTCTACACTGCAGGGTTTTTGCACAAGAAGCTTTTTGCGGAAGAGATCTTCCGCAAAAACTTCTTGTGCAAAAGTGCATCCACACCTCAAAAGCGCATCGCAAAAGCGATGTGCTTTTGCACAAGAGCGCATCCACACAGTATAGAAGCTCTTGCGCAAGAAACTTCTCATTGCCATTCACAGAATGGCGATCAGAGAACCTGTGCTTTTTGCGATGGGCTCTTTTTACACAAGAAACCTCTGTGGAGCATCCACACAACTTTTTGCGCAAGAACTCTTGCGCAAAAAGGAGTTATTCCTCGTGGGGAGAGGAATAACTCTACCAGTATCCCTGTCACAGAAGTTAAACTAACTGTAGTTTGGTCTGTAGTTTCCTGGGTTGTTCTTATTTCCCTTTTTATAGATGGGCACTATATTTGCCCTTTTCTAGTCTTCTGGAATCTCTCGTCTCCCATGATTTTCTAAACATGATAGAGGAGGTATCTGAGCCTCTAGCTATCAGCTATTAAGTATTCTAGGATGCATTTCATCAGGCAATAAAAGCAAGTTCTAAGATGATTTTGTTGATGAAATGTTATCTCTGTTTTCCACAAACTCTTTTAATAAATATAAACCAGGCACATGAATAGGATTTCAGAACCTGGCTGTTCGGATCATATTTCTAAAGAAGTCATTAAGCATCTCTGCCATTTCCAAGTTTCCTGTTACGGTTTCGCCCTCCTCACTGAGCAGTACCTCTCCTTGGTCTTCCTCTTGCTTCTAATGTATTTATAAAAAGTCTTCTTGTTTCCCTTTATTCCTATAGCTAGTTTGAGCTCATTTTGTGCCTTTGCCTTTCTGATCTTGCCCCTGCATTCTGGTGTTGTTTGCCTATATTCATTTTTTGTAATTTGTCCTAATTTCCATTTTTTAATAGGACTCCTTTTTTATTTTTAGATCATGCAAGTTCTTGTGGTTAAGCCCAGGCAGTCTTTTGCCATATTTTCCATCTTTCCTACACAGCGTAATAGCTTGCTTTTGGGCCCTTAACAATATCCCTTTGAAAAACTGGCAAATCTCCTCAGTTGTTTTTCCCCTCATTCTTGATTCTCATGGGACCTTACCTATCAGCTCTCTGAGCTTACCAAAATCCACCTTCCTGAAATCCATTGTCTCTACTTTGCTGTTCTCCCTTCTACCGTTCCTTAGAATTGTGAACTCTATGATTTCATGATCACTTTCACCCAAGCTGCCTTCCACTGTCAAATTATCAACTAGTTCCTCCTTCCTCAAAATTCTTCCGCGTTTAAAAGGATTCCATGGCCAAATAAAATTGGGAAACACAGGTCTAGACAGCACAGTAAACTACCTATAATCTGGCACCTTTAGGACCCAGGGGGTGCCAGATTATCAAATATGCCGGACTATCGGAAGGGGGGCTATGAGGGGTCTGGGGTGGCATCCCCCCCCCACCACCCCAGACCCCTCATAGCCCCCCTTCCGATAGTCCGGCATATTTGATAATCTGGCACCCCCTGGGTCCTAAAGGTGCCAGATTATAGGTAGTTTACTGTGCTGTCTAGACCTGTGTTTCCCAATTTTATTTGGCCATGGAATCCTTTTAAACGCGGAAGAATTTTGAGGAACCCCTACAGCCAGGAGGAAAATTTGTCAAGGGGAAAAAAACCCCAAAAAACCAGGGAGACCTTGCAGCCAAAATGCAGTCACGCATGTCCCGATCAGGCTTTGGAAATGCAGACGGGCAGCACGGGAGGGGAGAGGAGGTATCTGAAAGCCAGCAGGAAACCAGAGAAGGTTTAAGAGAAGAAGGTCTCGAGGCGGGGAGGGGAGGGCGGGGACCAAATACTCGTGAAACCCTTACTTTCACTTCACGGAACCCCGGGATTCCACGGAGCACCATTTGGGAAACACTGGTCTAGACTATCCCAGATAGATGTTTATCTAACCTACTCTTAAATATCTCCACAAATGGAGATTCCACAATCTCCCTGGGCAATTTATTCTAGTGTTTAACCACCCTGACAGTTAGGAAGTTTTTCCTAACATCCAACCTAAACCTCCCTTACTACAGTTTAAGCCCACTGCTTCTTGTTCTATCCTCAATGGCCAAGATGAACAAGTTTTCTCCCTCCTCCTTATGACACCCTTTTAGATACCTGAAAACTGCTATCATGTCCCCCCTTAATCTTCTTTTCTAAACTAAACAAACCCAATTCTTTCAGCCTTCTCTAGACCTTCATGTTCTCTAGACCTTTAATCATTCTTGTTGCTCTTCTGGACTCTCTCCAATTTCTCCATATCTTCCTTGAAATGTGGTGCCCAGAACTGGACACAATACTCCAACTGAGGCCTAACCAGCGTAGAGTAGAGTGGAAGAATGACTTCTCATGTCTTGCTCACAACATACCTATTAATGCATCCCAGAATCATGTTTGCTTTTTTTGCAACAGCATCACACTGCTTACTCATATTTAGCTTGTGGTCCACTATAACCCCTAGTTCCCTTTCTGCCGTACTCCTTCCTAGATAGTCGCTTCCCATTCTGTATGCGTGAAACTGATTGTTCCTTCTTAAGTGGAGCACTTTGCATTTGTCTTTATTAAACTTCATCCTATTTATCTCAGACCATTTCTCCAATTTGTCCAGGTCATTTTGAATTATGACCCTATCCTCCAAAGCAGTTGCAACCCCTCTCAGCTTGGTATCATCTGCAAACTTAATAAGTGTACTTTCTATACTAATATCTAAATCGTTGATGAAGCTACTGAACAAAGCCGGTCCCAAAACAGACCCCTGCGGAACCCCACTTGTTATACCTTTCCAGCAGGATTGAGAACCATTAATAACTACTCTCTGAGTACAGTTATCCTGCCAGTTATGCACCCACCTTATAGTAGCCTCATCTAAATTGTATTTGCCTAGTTTATTGATAAGAATATCGTGCGAGACCGTATCAAACACCTTACTAAAGTCCAGATATATCTCATCCACCGCTTCTCCCTTATCCACAGGATTCGTTATCCTATCAAAGAAAGCTATCAGATTGGTTTGACATGATTTGTTCTTTACAAATCCATGCTGGCTGTTACCTATCACCTTACCACCTTCCAAGTGTTTACAGATAATTTCCTTAATTACTTGCTCCATTATCTTCCCTGTCACAGAAGTTAAACTAACTGTAGTTTGGTCTGTAGTTTCCTGGGTTGTTCTTATTTCCCTTTTTATAGATGGGCACTATATTTGCCCTTTTCTAGTCTTCTGGAATCTCTCGTCTCCCATGATTTTCTAAACATGATAGAGGAGGTATCTGAGCCTCTAGCTATCAGCTATTAAGTATTCTAGGATGCATTTCATCAGGCACTGGTGACTTGCAGGCATCTCTAACTTTTCTAAGTGATTTTTAACTTTTTTTTTAATTTTATCTTCTAAACCTACTCCCTTTCCACTAGCATTCACTATATTAGGCATTCCTTCATTAGATTTCTTGGTGAAGACCGAAACAAAGAAGTCATTAAGCATCTCTGCCATTTCCAAGTTTCCTGTTACGGTTTCGCCCTCCTCACTGAGCAGTACCTCTCCTTGGTCTTCCTCTTGCTTCTAATGTATTTATAAAAAGTCTTCTTGTTTCCCTTTATTCCTATAGCTAGTTTGAGCTCATTTTGTGCCTTTGCCTTTCTGATCTTGCCCCTGCATTCTGGTGTTGTTTGCCTATATTCATTTTTTGTAATTTGTCCTAATTTCCATTTTTTAATAGGACTCCTTTTTTATTTTTAGATCATGCAAGTTCTTGTGGTTAAGCCCAGGCAGTCTTTTGCCATATTTTCCATCTTTCCTACACAGCGTAATAGCTTGCTTTTGGGCCCTTAACAATATCCCTTTGAAAAACTGGCAAATCTCCTCAGTTGTTTTTCCCCTCATTCTTGATTCTCATGGGACCTTACCTATCAGCTCTCTGAGCTTACCAAAATCCACCTTCCTGAAATCCATTGTCTCTACTTTGCTGTTCTCCCTTCTACCGTTCCTTAGAATTGTGAACTCTATGATTTCATGATCACTTTCACCCAAGCTGCCTTCCACTGTCAAATTATCAACTAGTTCCTCCGTTTGTTAAAATTAAATCTAGAACAGCTTCCCCCGGTAAAATGACCCCTTATCATTGGGTCAGTGTGGGTTGTTTTGACTGCATTGGTTTCTGAGAATACCTTCATCAATATCTGGTGGCAGTCCACCTACGAACACCTTGCGGGAATATCGTTCCACTCTTTCGCCATTTTGGTGAGAGAAGCAGTGTGGTGATCCTAACCCACTATGAAGAGTCTGATCCCCACGTCCATCATCCAGGAACCCATCTTCCATTGGAAACAGTGAAGATTGACCTAGGAAAAAAAAAGGGAAAAACATTCTAATAGGACAAAACATACCATATAAATATTTTAAAAAGTGTTAATTATTAGCAGTACGGCTTCTTTTACTCTTCCCTTTCAATGAGTAATGGGAAGACAAAACATGATCATTTTGATATTCTACTAACCTTTGATATTCATTTAACCTTTATCATTTCTAGTTCTACTACATTCCAAATGTCATGAGAATTACACAGCTACAGAAAGATGCAAAATCTTATTATTGAAAATATATAACAGAACAAACAGCATTTTAAAAGAACTTCTAAGACTACAATTTTCCATAGCTAAAACTTAGCTGTGTTTTTATGCAAGTCATTTTTAAAAGACTTGAGAGAGAAAGAAACATTATTTAACCTTAATGATTACTTCCTAGGGACTATCCTGATTGTATATACATAACTAAAAATCAAGGATGTATGTCATTTCCCAAAGAACTTCTTACATTCATAAGGTAATTTCACAGTACAACAAAAAAAATTCCCACATCAGCTAAATACATTCATTTTTTAGGTCACTTGATATCAAAACATTAAAATCACAAGCCATACACTTGTAGATGATAAAAATACGGAGACAAAAGAGACACTGCAATTTCCTGCAAATGACGACTGGAGACTCATTTAGTAATGTGGCATTCTTGGAGCAGATCAACTTTACTTAGATATTCTACAAGACGATTTGTTTGTTCATTAATTCGTTTTCTAACCAAACATGTTGCAAGAATTGTTCCTTTACTGAGACAGTCACATGTTCTTTTGCTGTAACACTTTTTGTGCATATTCCTTACTAAAGATCTTTGATTTACAAATCCAATTATATAACGCAATACACACAAATGCACTCAAACTAATCCCTGCAATGATATTTTCCTTTTTACAATGTACAATAAATAGAATCACAACATAAGCTGACCAGTCCTGTACTAATACACATATGGGTGGTGGGGGAGCAAATCAGCATGAGGTATGTTAAGGTGTCTAGAAAAATATTTCATTTGCCAACAGTTAGCTACACGGTGATATTTCAGAATTCACTATGATCTACAAAAATGGTTATCAGTGGGATTAATTTATCTTAGTTATCCTTCATTTGGAATGCCAACTAGGTTACATACATTTACATTATTTTAAATTAAATCCAATTATTTAGAGACTGAAGATTGGATCACCTCTAAAATTAGGACATCATCTATGTAAAGTCAAAATCTAGTAGAGATCCCATTTTACCAATATTCTTCCTTAAGCTATAGAATAAATACATTCAGAAAATTAAAGAACTCAAAAGTGATGAAGTTTTAGTTTCAGTATTCAACCACCTTATTTTTTAAATGTCTTTTACTCAAGAAATCCTTTGAAAATTAACAAAATGAAATCAAACCCACTTTTATGACTAAGTTTCTACCATTATAGCTTTTCAAGGCTTTACAGTGGTTTCTCTCATCTGGTGCATTATCCATTTTTATCTTGTTTATTAAGACCCAATTCCTGTAGATGATTATGCATGTGAGAAACGTTGAATATCTAGGTAGTCATGTTGAACACAACCACACTACTAATATGCATAAACTTAATCAGTATACATGTTTACAGGATCAGGGCCTTTCATCATAAACCCAATGGGATAGGGCCCATATCCACTACAGACTATGCTGTGCAAACACAACTGTCGGCACTCAATAGTCATAATAGGAATCACTTCAACCGAGTTATCATTCATAAACACAGGAGGAAAAACAGTATTTTAGCTCTTCTGAGTAGTAATGCATGTAGATGATGCTTAGCTAGAGGATTATGCCCATCTCAACCAAGGTAGTACTATTCTGGAATGATACTTTATTCAGTTAAAATGATTACCACAGCATGCAAACTAATTACGTAAGCTTGGTTAAAGTGATACTTTCAAATCTTATCTTTTTAAGTTGCTTTCTAGTAACAGCTTAGTGCTATGTGCACCATGAGACATTTTCAACATTAGAAAATTAAAGAGGAATATTGTTACCTCGCCTTCTCCCATATGTCCTTGCTGCATGTTAAATGAGAAAGAAAACAGCCTTTCAAACATTGTTATAAGAACCAAAAGATCTAGTTTCATCTCCTTTATACTAGCTCAGTGGTTCTTGAGCCTTTCCATACTACCGACCACTTAAAACAGTGTCCAGAAGATTATCTCTGTCCCCCACCTCTCAGTTGTTTGGTTATACAAATTAACATTACATCTGCAAAGGAGACAAGCATAGTAAAGAGACTTTATTTTGAATACAATTGATTTAGCTTCTGGATTACCACCTTATTTAGTCTGTGTACTCTTTACTGCTCTCCCTGGATGTATGTCTTCTTAATAATGGACCACCCCTTGTACTAGGCACATAAGTCACTTGATACTTTGATTCTGCATGTTCCCTACCTTTTCAATGTCAGTGACTTCCAAATCTGATCATGATTAAATTTATAACTCTTGACAAAGATATATATAGGATGCAGAAAGGTGTCTTAATTTTTTTGAAGTTAAGGTTACCAAAAAGCCAGCACAAACCCTAAGAGTCCTTGATTAACTTACTAACAGGAAGCTTCATAGTTTCAAGACTGACAACCATAGTTGAGAAGCGTAACAGCTGTGTGGATCACTGCCCTCTGCACACCTCCAGAGATCCATAGTTGAAAACTGTGCGCACTCCATTATAAAAACTGATGCATGTACATGGTAGTTACAACTATGGAGCTCACCACTTTTTCTGAGCTTTTTTGAGGAAGGTAACAGGGTGCTGGGAATTGAGAATGTTCTACTGCCAAAATAATTAAGACGATCTCCACAACTACTAGAACATGCCCAATAAGTCATTCCCCACTCAAAATTACACTTAAAAATAATCACGTGATCTACAACCCTAACAGACAGGAGAAAACTGTTCCAAAATCTGAATTTCTTGGAGAGTACTATAAAAAACTCTGATAATAAATCACCAGCTTTTATTTTCTTTCCTCATTCAAAATTCAACTTTGCAAACCCACAAGTAGCTACAGCATCTAAATGTTTTAAATCCGCTACAATTCGTAGATACTTAACTCAGGTGAAATAAAGCCAAACAATCAAATTTACTTAGGCGATTATTTTATATTTATTTTACTGATCTTTTTCTGATGGGGGCATTCAACACACATAATCCCAATGAGAAAGTATAGCTACACACTGGTCCTCAATTGACAATGTAGCCACAAGTGCTTGGCATGTATTTCCTGCTATAACAGAGGTCAGCAACCTATAACTCAGTACAGAACCAAATATGGCTCTTTTGTCATTCCCAAAACATGTGCAACTTTTTAAATTAAAATTCAAAATTTTAAAATTGCATAATTACTCATGTTAAGGTGATCTTTCTTTTATCTATTTCATCTTTAACCAGAGGTGAAAATAAGGTGGTGCACCCCAGGAAGAACTGGCTGTGCTGCAGCAAGAAGAGCTGGCAAAGGGATAGTGAGAGGTGCTGACAACTGTATATGCCTCCAACTGGCTGTGGTGGCCCAGCTCCAGCCCCCATCTAACTGCCACTGTCTGTCCCCAGCTGCCGTGCTGCTAAGACAGACCCCGTGACCCAGCCCCATGATGCAACAGCCTGACCATGGTGGCCCATCTTGAGCTCCGGCTGCGGCAGCCTGGTCAACAAGGCCTCAATCAAGGCCCAACCCCCATTTAGGCACAGCGTCTTATCCTCAGCCCTGATCCTGGGGCAGGTCCCATGTTTCGGCCCCCATCTGGCTGCAGGGAGGGATTGTAGGGGCCCCCTCCTGCTGCTGCCTGGGTAGGAGGGGAGGTCACAATCCATCTGTGGTGATCCTGGTTCAACCCCTTGTCCAGCCACTGCTGTCCGGGTGCAGCAGCTCATCCCCGGCCAGATAAGGTAATCTTACTGCCACTTACTTTACTTCCCATCCCCAGCACCCTGCCCTGCCTCCTGCAACTCTCACACACCCCAACCCTGCCTCCTGCATCACCAGCAGTAGCAGAAGTCTGACTACAATGTTTCATTTATGCTATTATTATGTAAATTATCATATTAAGTTGAATATTTTCAGTCATGCAAATGGGCATTCTTATATGGCTCTCTGCTGACTACTTGTTCTGAATTTTGATATAGTTTGGCTCTTTGGTTTGAAAAGGTTGCCGAGCCCTGTGCTATAAACTTGTATCTTACATTTTGGGATCTTCACAAAAAGTATAGTTTATATATGGTAATTATACTACTATTTTAAGTAAAATCTAAGATGTTCCTATAGTTCCCAAATGAGTGAGAATCTAAGTTTATTTCCATGCAATGGCCTTACTAGTTGCTTTTTATACTGTAGAGAGGTCCAAAGCTTTTGTGCCTTTAAGAACCTAAAGTGTTTTCAAAGCATACTCTTGTCTATAAAGCCATAAAATCCCATGGTCTGTAAACTGGTAACAAAACCAAAACATACAAAAACCTCACTTATCTGGTGCACCGCTACTCTTGAAAACTTGCTATTCGACATAACTGTAATTCCTGAAAAGGGCCTATCTGACACAGAGATTGAATTCGCAAACTTCTTGCTGCTTCTCTACCTGTGTGTCATTACAAGCCACGTTTTCTCAACATAAATAGTACAAACATGCAACTTAGCAAGTAGCTGTGGGAATTTTAGTACAAAATATTATTGAGCAGGTTGAGACTCAACAGTATTTTTCTGGGAAAAAAATTTTACCCCCCCAAACCACCCTCCCCCCAAGATCTAGTCAAAAACATTCAGCATTATGGTTAAATTCTGCTTTTTATTTTAAAATTAAACATATGGTAGTACTCTTTTGTATTTTTCCACATTTATTTAATCTGGTCCACCTTATTTTTGACATTTTAAAATATTCCTTTGGAGCCACATATTATTTTACTTTTCAAAGATATCCCTGTTGTGCTCAAAGCCCATCAATTTCCTGTATATTTGTGCACTTTTGGGGATGTTTTGTGGAAGTGCTGTGTTTTTGGAAGGCTGAAGACATGCCTGACTAAAATGTAAAGCCTTATTCGATACATGACTTTCATAGTTTACTTTAGAGAAATCTGTGCTTTTGCAACTGTGCTAGCTAAGATTCCTTAAAGAAGGCTTTATTTGAACTGAAATAGTTACTAGTGGTGGAAAGGCAGTCACCTAGTTCTTGGATAAAAGAGATCTGTGTATAGAGTTAGCACTAAAAAGTAAGACCACTTCAGTGATATTTTGTACAACTTCCTCTTCACTGAAGTTTTTTCTTTAATTCCTAGTTTTTTCTTTAATTCCTTTACAATTTAAGTTAAAACACCATCGAAGGCTTGGTCATACCCAAGAAAATTGAGTGAAGGCTGAAATTTCATCCTTAACCCACCTCTTGCCAGAAAATTGCAATATATAGTCATATTGCATGTAGGGCAACCCACTGCTTTGAATAAGGTGGCCATAACCTCTGTTATCAACTAGACCAATGGTCTCCAAACTTTTTATGAAATGTTAACAATGTAAAGTGTCTGCCCAACCACCAGAGCCACGGCCTCAGCCAGGACTGTGAGATGGGTCTGGAGTAGCGCTGGATGGCTTTCCTTCTTTGCCCCCTTCACGGACTGGCCCAGGACAGGAGTGGAACCAAATTGCAGCTGAGAATAGGACTGGAGAAGAGCTGGATGGCCTCCCTCCTGGGACTGTGATATAGAGCCTCTTCTGGGGAAGGAGCTTGGATCAAGAACAGAGCTACAGCAAGGGCTGGGAGCTGCAGGCAGGCAGGGGCAGTGACCAGAAGCAGGGATGGGTGGCACTCCCTCCCTGTCCCATGTGGTGGCTGGCCTGCTGCCCCGCCCCATATTCCCTCCACTTCCCCTTAGGGAAGCACACACTACTGTTTGTATTGTTAATATTAGCCCAGGGAAAAATTCTCCAAGAAAGTAAATGGTGAGCAACTTAGTCTAAATCAAGTACAGGCAGTCCCCGGGTTACGTACAAGATAGGGACTGTAGGTTTGTTCTTAAGTTGAATTTGTATGTAAGTCAGAACTGGTACATATTGTAGGGGAAACTCTAGCCAAACATTTCTCCAGAGCTCAGTTTTATTCTCCCACACCTCACTTCCCTCAGTCCTTTATTCTCAAGCTGAGGTGTCTGCTGAAAAAAGCCACTCTGCGTCTCCCTGGTCTGCTGGGGGTGGGCCCTAGCTTCGCGTCTCCCTGGTCTGCTGGGGGGAAGCAGCTAGTGCAGGGTTGCCTCACCCCGTTTGTAAGTAGGGATCCGATGTAAGTCGGATCCATGTAACCCGGGGACTGCCTGTAATCTCTGATATTCTGTACCCTCAATGTCCCCTGCAATGAGAATATAGTGCAATTTTTACACTTCCTCGTTCTCAAGGCTTTTCTCAATGAATCCATCTGTATCCTTGCCTCCGGTTATATCTCCCATCTCTTCTCCCATTGTTTCACTTGCTTACTGGCATCTCCATGCCACCTGTCATGCTGAGTTGTCTCCCAATTAGTATATGCCAAGTTCCTGCCATCTTCTTTTAGAAGCTCCAAAAGACGAACGTGTATTATATTATGCATTACCAATGTGCTCAGTCCTGTATAAGGCACACAGATAAGTCTTTGCCTCAAAAGACAATCTAGACAACATACCTAAAGATGATATGCCGAACAATTGAGTTAAAAAGGTCACCTTAGATTTAAAGTTCCTTAAATTCCAAACCTGCCAAAAACATTGTGTGGGAGAAGCCTTGAGGCCATGCAGAGCCCCTCATAATTTTTGTGGGGCTCCTCAAATATCCACTTACATGGAACAACTTGCAGGATTAGGGCGCTAATGAATTTGGCTGAGAGAGAGCTGAATGAGCACTTGAATGAGAATGCCAGCAGCCTAGCATTGGGAGGCTTTTCCATGCAAAAGAGGCAGTATGTAAGACAGCACAAAGATGGGAGTTGGAGTGACACACAAGCTACACTGAGCACGCCAAACTCACTGATCACACATCACCCTGCCTACCTAAAACTACATCTAC